AACATCCTTTCGTACAACAAATCGTCTAATGTCCCCTTGAAGAGAAACATTGCGTCTTTATTTTACTTACGTTTTCTACATTTGCATCTTGTCAGAATAAGATTTTGTTTATATATATACACCAAATATTCACAGACATTACAAATATGTCCATACATGTAGCTCCATGGACTCCTGTTGCTAGTGCTCTCCGCAAGCACCAATTAATACCGCCGCTACGCACACAGCGTTAGCGCCACTCAATACCACACACATTGCTGCAGTCGACCACGCTAGGCCGGTACACATTTTAGGCTGAGTCAACCTAGGTGAGGTGCCATTCCAGAAGGCTTTTGCTGCTGACGTTGCGCATTCATGGTAATAAATCACTGGTCACTCGGTCGGCTATTGCGTCATGCTCAATTGGGGACAAATTACTTGGTTTGCCGGTGATGGGGATAATACAGGGCACTTGGAGAAGTGCCCTTTTAGTTAATGTTCGAGTCTTAAATCTCGATTGAAAACTAATTTCTTTAGAACTGCTTTTTTGTGTTCAGTTTGTGGTATTTCCCCCGCACAACGGATCAGCACGGTTGGCTACGCACGGCGCGAAAGAAATTCAACAGACGTACGCTACATACGAGTCGAATTGAACAACGTCTGGATGAACCGAAGAATGAAATAGCCCTCGCGATGAGGTGACGTGACACCAGAGAGACGGAATTGTGCGTCGCACACCACGTGCTTCCAACGTATTCGTTTTGTTTGAATGTCAATGGCGCTCAGTTTGAGAGACCGCCACGCTGTGAATCCGTGATTAAAACAATTTTACCGCACGGGAACTTTTCCATTGCCCTGTATTGTTGTAAGTGTTTATCGCAAGACTTAAAGAATATTAAGACTTTCGTCTGAGCTATCCCTGCTTTCTGAGTGAAAGCAGTTAACCTGTTGGCCATATTTTTGTGAGCCTTATTTTGATTAAGATTCCCCCCATAAAAAGCAATCGACTTACGGATGTACCAAATTGAAGCTTTCTGTCCCTTGTGGAAGAAATAAAAAATCTGTCACTCATTCACTCGGTGACTCGCACATACTGAGCACATTCATGGCATCCACTTCAACGGAGGTATCTTCCATAGTGAAATAATTTGACAGGAGAGACGGCAGTTTCTGAGCCAGGTCGATAAAACTGTTCACACGCTTGGTAGCGTGAAGACTTTATTGTACCGAGTCTCATCCCTCTAATCCTCCGTCGTGTCTGTCCCGGCGTTGGCGAGGCGCGTCGCTTTGAGGTGTGCAAGCTTCCCAATGGTACGCTCGATGCTCAGTGCTCGCCAACGCCTTGAGTCGGATTGTTTCAGACGCTCCTTTGATGTGCTGTTGAAGATCACGCAAAGCTTTTGTTGTTCGGGGGTTGTTTTTGGCAAGCATTTTTGTCTTTCACAAAACCCCAAACATTCAATCGTGTGGTTCACACCGCTGTCCATTTATACACATTCAAAAAAAATGTATACCTTAATGAACCGCCTACAATATTATGACGGTGTTCTGTCATTGCCTGTGACTAAATCACTTGGAGTGTGGCCGATCTCTCCAGAAGCTAAGCAGGTGTTTTTAAAAGCCTGGATAATACTGGGATGAGCGACCGCCGTGCATAAAGCAGGCAAGGGTTGGCTGCCGCTGCGTCTTAGTGGCGCACGATGCTGCCTCGTCCACGCCTTCACCAACCCGGGCCGACCGGCACGGCCCCGCGTCCGGCAGTAGATCGAAAAACTGGACCGAGAGCTTCGCACACCGGCGAGATGCGGTCGGAGGAAAGTTTGACGACGTCTCCGCCAGCTGACACCCGCTCGTGTCAAGCGACGCCAACGTCATCGCCACCGTCGCTAATGCGACCGAGGGGGAGGGCGGCTTCCGTTATCTCATTACCACCGTGTGGGGCATTGGACTGCGCTGCCACAAATTCCTTTTGGTGTGAAATCTTGGGCGTCTTGACTGCAAGGGAGACGTTGAGTTAATTATGCTTAGAAGTGTTGATAACGGCCTAATTTATCGTGTTAATGATCTCTCTTTATTCTCAGAATGTGTTGCTCTTCTGGCGCTTTTACAGTTGGTTACAAATATTGCATCACAGCTTACAACGTGTCAGGGCTACAGCTTTGGAGCTATGCCAATCGCATGCGGTATGTCTGCGAGAGCATTTGTACTTATTAACGAATTCACCACTTTCCTATTTTTTTTTAAAACATGTTGTGATACTGTATGGGCAATGTGATGCATCAGCACGAATGACAATACACTTAACACATTCATTCATTCACGCCGCTCTGAAAGGAGTAAAAATCGTGCAATCGTTGACATTTAGGGCAATTGTCTTCCTTTAAAGCACGTCATCACCTTCACCGGAAAATGCAGACGTAACAACACTAAACCAATAACGCCATGAGTAGGATACTGCTACACATCCGTGCTGTTCAACGCACCGCAAAACCCACACACAACGCCCATCCTGCACTGCCGGTGACGGCTCAAGAATATGAAAACGGCTCAAGCTGGCATTTACTATAATAGATCGAGCGTTAAATGCTGTCGAGCTGTCAACCTGTAAAAATCTCATCGGCGTGGTTTTCCCACACTGTGACCGAGGCTTGTGGAATAGAGTGGCACCTTTGTTGTGCTTGGATGCTAAAAGCAAAAGTGGAAAATTGCCTATAAAAAAGAGAGCGCAGGGAGCGATGATGTACGACATCGTTGCAGTGTCGGTGCAAGGTGCGCCATGGTGGTGAGATGTTAACTACCTCGCCCGGTATACAGGACGGCATGGGTTCGATCCCGACCCGGACGCCTGCTGCTGTATATTTGGAGTTTGCACGTTCTCCTCTTGGTCGTGTGGATTTTTCTCCGGATCCTCTGGTTTTTCCCTCCACATTTAGAATCAACGTCACACGTGTTTAGAGTATTTGGCTGCTTTAGATTTCCACGTGATGACGAGCCACTTCGTTGAGCTTTCACTTGTGGCCAGGTCACTTCTGAAAAAGAGCTGTATAGCTCTGTGGGCGTTACCTGGTAAAATACATGTTTTAGTTTTAAGCATAGGTTAGAAAGCCCTGAGGTTGAGCTCGCTCGCCTCAAGGAAGGGAATTCATAAACTCAGTCACAGTTAAGTCCATTTTATTTTGGCTTACACACGTGGCGCCTTTCTGGCAACAAATATATCGCTCCAAGAGCCATCACACTAATACTAAAACATAAGTATCGACATTCTATGCAATTATTTCAAAATATATATTTTATGCAATTATATAAAGTTATATATACACACAGAGCATAGTTGAGAGGCATGATAAATAAAAGTTGCAAAAAAAGACAAATGTGTGGCCGTAAGCGTCTGCCCAGTGCTCACACGACTGCTGGCATTGGCCTCCTGGAGAGGGAGTTCTCGAGGGCCATTGTTGATGGTATTTGGTCTACTCTTCCATGCTGGCCAAACATCTGGCAAGAGGTGGGAGAACCACCGCTTTACCCCACCTCACGCGACTTGCCGATGGACGAGGGTGTGGAGTGCACCCATTGTTTGTTTGTGTTTAGTTTTGTTGTCCTTCTTTCGCACCTCCGATTAGTACGTAGGGTGCAAAAGAAGTCCAACGTGCGTGCACACGTTGAACTGCTGGGTTGGACGAAGGTGGATTTAAGAAGTTGCACCAGCGTTTTAACTGCCATGCTGAGAGATCAAATTGGTGAACTCTGAAAAAGCAAGTCCGATGTGCTCACCTTGACGCCACAACAGCCGACTAAATAATGTTGAGTTTATTTATCCAGTGAGTGAGGAAAAATAGGATTCTGATCAAGTTGGGCACACGTGAGGATTAATTAAATTAGAGCTGGAGCATTGTTGGCCCAGACGCTGTTGTAGAGGTAGGGTGCAAGTCTCGGGACTGTCCGACAGAAAGGTGCACCTACATGAACGAGAGAGAAAATAAAAATCTGGAAGTTAAGCTCACGTGAATTTGGGGAACACTGCTTTGGTCCCCTTCCATTCACGTCAATACGTTAACGGCTGCCACACTCTTCAGAACAAAACAGAGACTCGGCGCTGCACCGACGATGTGAAGGTGGCAATGAACAGCGACACCACGACGTGTGGTGCATTGTGGGATCCGCCGTATTACATTGAGGGCAGTTGGCACGTGCCGGGGAAACCTGAAACGCGTGTCGGCTGTGGGGGTGCGCTCGTTTGTTTGACTGGATGGATGGGGGTTTCACTCGTGCGTGGCTGTTCTTGACGATTTTTTTTTATTTACAGGAACAAAATAGGGGCTTCCCCACTGTCACAGATTGATGGCATATTGATAAGGAGATAAAATTGCACCCGGAGGTGGGTGGATGGCATAGGGGTCAGAGGACTGAACCGACACCGTTTAGAGGCTGGGTTCGAATGCAGGTCTCGGTGACTTGTGATTAAGCCGAGTTATCGAGTGTAGTGATTTGACTGCACAAACAAAAACTCGCATTTTTTTTTACTTAATTTGAATAAATCCCATCAGTGGGAATTACAAAACATTGGTTTGGCCGCCATGTGACAGACATTTGTTTGTAGCAAGGCATGTTGGGAAAGTGCCAACCGCAGTGAGTGGGCCTGTCTCTGACACCGAGTCCCACGACATGTCACCGATGGCACAAGTGGAATACAATTGTGACAAAGACAAAAACTATTTTTTTAAATGTTACCCCCGCATATATATTTTTAAGGAGACAATGAAATCAGTTGACGTGCAGGTGCTATCGGTAGATTGTTACATCGCCGGATAGGGAGAGATGGTCACAACTTGTGGATGCCTTCAACCAACAGTGGATAGACCCCAGCTGACGATGTTAATACGTTGGGTTTTTTGTGTGTTGGGATGTAACTGAAACGCAGAGCCGAAGGAGGGTGGCATGACCCTTGCCCTACGGTGCCACCCCCAACAGCGCACCGCTCGTGACCCTTACCGTACCGTGCCCCCCCCCTTCACCCCCCGCAGCGCACCGCTCAAAGAGGATGCGGATGAAGACGAGTGGCGGGGACGACGCTGCACGGCGCGGCGACGGCGGCGGCGCCGGCTCCTCGACGCAGGCGCTGGTGCAGTGGGACCCGTCGGTGCGCGACGGGCGCCTCACGCCCTCCTCCGTCCCCAGCGGAAGCAACCTTTTCGGCAGCAACGTATCGGGGCTGTCCTACTCGCCTTCCATCCTCTCGATCCTGCAGCTCATCGAGCCCGAGGTGGTGTACGCCGGGTTCGATAACAGCCGCCCCATGACGGCCAACTACCTGCTCACCAGCCTCAACCGGCTATGCGAGAGGCAGCTGGTGCCCGTCGTCAAGTGGGCCAAGGTGCTGCCCGGTACGTGGGGGAGGAGGAGGAGGAGGAAGGGGGGTGGGGTGCGAGGCCCGCGCTTGGCGTGAGAGAGCGTGGGGAGGGGTAGAGGACATCTGCCGCACATTTGCTGCTGTGCAGTTGTTTGTGTAATTTGTCTCATTTGCGCATTGCTGTTCAAGCTCCGTTGGTGTTCGGTGTTAACTCAGCGTCGCGGAAACTGCGATGTCACGTTCCCAGCTCTTGCACTTTTCCTCATCCAGGGGCTAATATTGGGAGGATTCATAGTTTCACCCCGCTATGTAACCAAGAGGAAAGTGTGGCGGTTTATCCTGTGCGTTTCCCACTCTCGCGTGGCATGAGGACATTTTAAAGGTGCCATTCTCATTTGGATTTTGCAAATTTTCGTGAGATTTCACATTAAAAATTCAACCATGGCGGCAACCCCACTTGTGGCTGTAGGGTGTGACGATACCTTTTTTTTACGAATATTCTGCTGAAAATGAGCAGTCGGCAAGGTTGAGAATGATAACCCTTCGTGTTAGCAAGCATGCATGAAAAAGCATGTTTTTTTATAGTAATTTTAAACTGTCGATGCAGTTGCTCACTCGGAGACGCCCGGGGGTGTTTTTGCAGCCACAAAAATTAGCCGCTCAAATATATAGGCAGTTTTTAGCTTGTTCCCACCACACCATCAGGGTTTCTTATCCGGATCATCGTTTTGGAGATAGATTCAGTGTCCGCTGATCCTAATCCCCTCCCTGCATATGGAATTAAGAACCAGGTAACAGTTTTCACAATGTAAAAAAGAAAACGTGTCAGCATTTCAGTCGGTCACACAGTGGGTCTTCCGAGCACAGTGGGATTTCCTTAAGCGGGGGTCACACTGTGGACCGGTTTTGACTTTGGGAGTCCCATCAGCAGAGCGATGCCTGGTGAACAAAATGCTGCTGCTGGGCTGCTTGAAGTTAAAGGCAAAAAGGGGCCTCATTTTTTCCCATGAAGTGATGAAAGAGAAACCGGTTTGGCTGCTTCAGCAAATCCCACTGGAAAACATTTGAACGATTGGCTGATGGACGATTTTTTTAATTTGATTTTATTTATGTATTCATTGCCCACGTTTTCATCTTGGCAGCAGATAATACATGAGCTCCGTTACTGTCTATTATTATTTGTGACCTTTTTTACCTGTTTGTTACTTTTCTTCTTATTCACTTTATTCACTCGGCTCAGTTGCATCTCTCAACAGCGCCATGAGTGAGCGTCACGTTTTTGAGACAAAGTATCCATTCTTAACCTGTGCAGTGCAGCACGTCGCCCCGTGTGTTTGAGAAGAGCCCGTGGAAGCAGATATCACCGATTGTCTCAGATCCATTCGAGGGAACTCTTGTTTCTATCCACACACCACAAATGTTTGTCACGTGGCCTTCAAACTGATATGCTTTTGATCATTCTCAGAGCTGGAATTTAACCAAAATAAGTGAAAATCAAAGTTTAATTTAATTATCTCCTTTGTTCATTGATGACCGTTCTGAAATCACCAACTTGACTCCATTGAGAAGCCGGTTTAATTTTGAGCATCTACCAAAATTCATGCCCAGGATCTTGGTGCTCTGCTCCTTGAACTGACCAGCCACCTCAGTGCATTGCTGTTGAAGCATGTTGTGTCATCCAATGCTCATAGAGTGATTACGCTAAGGTACCTGATCTCAGACATAAGTATTGTCTGTAATGACATTTTTTCGTTCGTTAATTTCACCATTATTTTTATTTGGTTTATTCAGCTTTGATAACCTCAATAAATGCTAAAATGTAATATTGTTTTACTTCCATCAATTGAGAGACCCGCTTGCTAATCTGCCAAAGTCATAGAATTTTAATTATGCTGCTCCGATAATTACTTCACCAAATGTAAGGCTGTCATTTGCGTTGGCAATTTGCGGTACTGCCGCCACATCGGCAAGCCGGCACTTATCACCAAAGAGCCGTGTCAGCACGCCCCGTGCTTTGTGTCCAAAAGAAAAGATTTGCATAAAATGAGCACGGAAGACTAATGAATAAAATAATCTGCAGCGTACATCCCCCCCGCCCGCCCCCCTCCCGTAGATGGGGTGTCTTCCTGAATCTCACACCGATTATTTCCGTAAATGCTCGAAAAATGTACAGTGCCACTTTCAGGTTGCGTTCACCGAATTGCGCTTATCCCAGATTTTCTCTTTGAATGGCACGGCGAGAAATCAGTCTCTTGCCGGTGCGGCTGATCGTGGTTTTTGCTGCTCCGTGGGCCACCTATTTTTCTTATTTTATTTTACCAGGTAAGGCCCACTGAGCTATGTAGCTCCTCTTTCAGAAGCTACCTCGCCACAAATGATAGCTCAACGAAGTGGCTTATCATGTGGATAGTTACAGCAGCCATACTCTGAATGCATGTTTCTAAATGTGGAGGGAAAAACCGGAGAAAAATCCAAGTGACCACGGGGAGAACATGCAAACTCCAAATATACAGTGATCAGGGTCGGGATAAAACCCACAATGTCCTGCATACCAGGCGAGGTAGTTAACATCTCGCCACCGTGGCGCCCCTTATGTGCACGGCTGTGCTTCGCAACAGACTGGCCGAGGCAAGAGGCAGGACAGCCGTATTTACGCATCATACATTGTGACCCCCTATGTCACACACGGAATGCTGCTGCAGTGATATGTAATGCGGGCGTAAACGGCCCTCCGGAGGTGACGTCAGGAGGGGAGGAGTTAGGTCACGTGGGGGGGTGAGGGGTTAGGCTATAGAAGGAGGGGAACCGGAAGAGGACGGGGGGTGACGGGGAACCAAGAACGGAGAGAGGCCACGAAGGGCGAAGCGGAGGGTGGCGAGATCGCCACGAACACGGGGGAGCGAGGATCGGCACCGTTGGCCAGCGGTGACCGACCCGAAGCAGCGAGGAGGCTGCAGTCAGCAGCGGGGCTGCACAGAGAGTCAGCAGCGGGGCTGCATACAGAGTCAGCAGCGGGTCTGCATAAGGTAGCAGCCAGAGGGTCTGCACATAGGGGTAGCAGCGGGAGTCTGCATAGAGGTAGCAGCGAGTCTGCAGGGAGGAGGTTACAGTAGATGAAGCAGAGAGTCAGAGGGAAGAAGAAGCTATAATAGCAGTGAATAGCCGGGGGCTACAAATACAGAGTTATAACAGAGTGCCGTGTGGGTGAAGACGAGAACCCAATAAAAGACACGAAGACAGAAGGAAGTGTCCGAGTCCATTTATTACAGATATAATAATGAGTTCACTGGACTGGGTGATAACCAGAAATGTCCACTCAACAGTATCAATGTGTGGATACTTAAATCTTTTCCATGACATCTTGCCAGTGTAGAAGAGTATGTGCCGACGTCCCTCCTGTGAGGGGCTCGCTAGAGCTCCCTCTAGTGCAGACTTTTTCCGCGAGCAATGGCATCGGCAAGAAATTTCAGAGCAGCGCATTTTAAGAAAGTCACATGAAGCGTTGTTTGATGGGGCCCGCTCGTCCACTCCATCTTTATCGTAAATGTATCGGTATCGATCGTGATTTACGATCAGAAAGCGGAGCAATTGAATGTTGTTAACAATGGTGATGACTCTGGTTACCCCGATAAACACTGACGACAGCCAACACGATGTTGAGGCTCGATGGTGAAGCGCTTCCTGATAAGATAGGACCTGGGTAGAAGCTGCAATGCGCAGTCTGTGCAGCTTGCTGCCGAAGCATCGAAACAAGAAGTAGATATTTTACCCACATTTCTATTTACCTCATCCATAATCGATTGGAGAATGACAGTGAATGATGCACCATGGAGGATCGGAAAGCGACTGAGATCAGATCCTCACCGCCTGTGTAACTCGGCAGTGAGATGCCCAGAATATGAAACTGGGACATTCTGGGATGGCCTCTGAGTAGACCGACGGGCATCGCTTAGACATCTAAATGCTGGCCCATCCCAGCGGCCTGAGCGAGGGCCCATGTGGGGGAGGATAGTTCTCTCTCTCTGGGGCCAAAGTTATCCTCCTTCGAGCAAAGTTTGTGGTCCGTAGCACGAAGGCTGCACTCGTTAACCGCGCGCGCCTTAACGGAGCGACAGGGCGTGAAGAGCCACAGCACACAATAACAAACAGTAGCAGGTTGACCAAATTAAACACACACAACTGCGGGTGTTTGATTAAATGCCGGCCTTATGGGATTGATTGGCACTTCTGAGAGCCGTTAAAAATGTTTTGTTGTTGTTGCTGAATTCATATTTTTCAGAATTAACTGAAATGTTTCTATTGTAAAATGGGATGAAATAACAAATATAATCATCATAAAAATAATTTATAGCGCTTTGTCAATTCAGTGCTGATAAATGCGTCTCCGTGCCTTTCGGTCCTGAATCCCATTTGACAATATTTAAAATATATATGCTTACATATAAAAATATTGACATTTATACAATTTTTATATTTCACCATGCTGGGTCAGTGTGGCTTGGAGAGGAATGAGTGAGGGGCTCGGCATCAGTTCAGATATCGGTCTCCACCGATATTGTCTACGGCGGGGTTTCACACTCAGACGGTCAGGTCCATAGCTCAGTGTGCTAACCACTGCGCCACCGTTCCACCCCGTAAATTAAGATCAACGATCCTCCCGTTTATGCCTGGATGTTATTGTAGGCTACCTGTGATGCATGCAGCTTACAAGCTGGGCACAGGGCACTAAGTTACGGAAATCCATTTAACAAACAATCATCCATCTGCACACGGATTACAGAGAGGTAAAGTCCCTTAACAATAAAATAACCAATTACATGCATGCTGTATGAGTAATTACTCCTTTGAACCATAAGGAACTGCAGTATGAAGTAGGTGATGAACATTGGCTTAGAAGAGGGAAAAAAAGTAACTGGAATGCCAACATAACTAAGTAAATGAGCCATTCACATATTTTTCATATTGGCCAGGCCAGCTGTTACCAATACAAGAAATGAGAATTGCACTGAACATCATGAATAATTGACATTTGGCTCACGCCGCCTTTACTTCTGACACCTGTCGCACACACTCGATGGAAAACTCGAATGGTTTGTCCTGGAAAATGGGTGGAGAGATCAGGTTGACCCAGATGACTTCACAAACTAACGGGACCCGTGGCCACTCCGGCATTCAGCGTTGGGTTTTCACGAATGTACATTCCGTTGATGCCACTCTTCGTTAATATGTCAGTGACATCAATTCATCGTGCAGTTTGTTATTGACGGTCGCTTGAGAGTACACGGAAGCAAGACGTCTCTCGCTGCTGGCCTGGAGAAAATTGCAATAAAAAATGTTGTAAATAGAATAACAGAATATCTGTGCTTATGTGAGCACCACATCTCAAATAAGGAAAGCAAAAACAGGCATGTGAACACAGTTTTGTTTCATGCATGTATTAAAAGGTAGCATTCATCATAGGATTTAAAATCTTGACAGGGCAGGATGGTGGGAATCGCTGTCAGATCTCGAAGAAAGATGCAACCGAACAATCAAACAGTTGGCTATTTTGTTCTGATGAGTCCCAATAACGATGAAACTAGTAAAGAGTTGCCTTTTATCTTCTGCTGCCAAAATGAAAGTGCTGCATTCCCGGCTCTCTTGAGCCTGGCGGTCATCGCATGGCTGTGTGCAGAATATGTTCAGAGGAGTCACTATCAATTGTTCATTCTTTCGTCAAGGCCTACTGGGATTCCCGTCATGTTTTGCTGTTGAATACAGCACCTTCACTTCCATCTCTTATTGTGTAGACAAGTACCCGAGGTGCGTGTCCCGTGGCTACCCCATACGAGTTTGAATGTCCTTTAATAAGAAAAGTTATGTTTTTTTGTCTTTTTCCCACCAATTTTATTCCAATTGTGCTCTTGGCGTCATGAGATAAAATAATAATATAAATAAATATGGAATGCTCACAGAGCAGCACATTATACCCATTGCATTGATTGTAAGATTTGTATAATGCCATGAAGGTCAAACAAAGACAAACATGCAAAGGTCTCCCGTATACCCTACATATGGCGTGCTATTAACAAGCACCAATTAAATCTGGCGGCACGGTAGCAAGCGGGTGATTTGGCCAGCACCATGCCCGGCAGCCTCTGCCCCCCACAGTGCTGATGTGTACACACAGCACCAGTAGTTTATTTAAGGCTGAGTCAGCCTAGAAGGAGGCCCAAGAGTGGTTCAGATATTCATCACCGATGTTGATCAACCCACACGTCCACAAACACAATGTCCCCCCCCTTCCCGCCACCATGCAAACATGGATATCACACAAACAACACAACCATCATGAGTGCGGAGAGGTTTATATTTAGGAGGTGTGTCATGAAACAAGAGTGTGTGTTGATACGTGTGCAATGTTGTGCTGTTGGTCTCCTCCCGCAGGGTTTAAGGAGCTGCACATTGACGACCAGATGACGCTGATTCAGTACTCGTGGATGGGCCTTATGGCCTTTGCCATGGGCTGGAGGTCCTACAAGCTCGCCAACGGGCAGATGCTCTACTTCGCTCCCGACCTCATCTTCAACGAGTAAGTGTTGCCACACTCCAACGGCAGCTGGCTGTTGCCATCTAGTAGGCCTCATTTAATCAGCTAGTCCTAGCTCATCAGTGCTTCCTAGTAGGCCTCATTTAATCAGCTCGTCCTGGCTCATCAGTGCTACCTAGTAGGCCTCTATTAGTCAGCTAGTCCTGGCTCATCAGTGCTACCTAGTAGGCCTCATTTAATCAGCTAGTCCTGGCTCATCAGTGCTACCTAGTAGGCCTCATTTAATCAGCTAGTCCTGGCTCATCAGTGCTGCCAAGTAGGCCTATATTAGTCAGCTAGTCCTAGCTCATCAGTGCGACCTAGTAGGTCTCTATTAGTCAGCTAGTCCTGGCTCATCAGTGCTACCTAGTAGGCCTCTATTAGTCAGCTAGTCCTAGCTCATCAGTGCTACCTAGTAGGCCTCAATTAGCCAGCTAGTGCTGGCTCATCAGTGTTACCTAGTAGGCCTGAAATGATTCGCCCCTGATGATTATTTTAATCTTGAATATTTGGGGGTCCCACATTTTTTTTAAAGATGATTTTATTTTGGTGCATTGCAGCACAGGGGTCCCCCGTGAGGTACTTTGTCCAATGCTTACACATTGAACATTAATTGTACATTACTTGAAAATCGTGGTTTCCCACATGCACGATCTAATGTCTCTTTTTGTAAGTGTATGTGTCGCTACAACCCCGACAGCTGATGCAGACTCCTATGGATGCATGATTCTTTCTATAGTTCTCTTAAAACAACTATCGCAGGGCAGATTACTTTAGGTGAGAATTTACTACTTTAATGAGCCAAGAATGTCTGTGTGTCCCGCACGTGACGTCACTCCACGTCGGCCAGCCCCCCTCATTAATAATCATGAGCAGGTGACGTATAATACATGGACCCCCCCCCCCTTCATTAATAATCATGAGCAGGTGACGTCACTCCACATCGAACAGCCCCCCACATTAATAATCATGAAGAGGTGATGTCGTCCAAATGGACACCCCCCCTGCCATTAATAATTATTAGTGGGTGACGTCACTCCACATGGGGGGGGGGGGGGCGAGGCGCCTCCTTCCCCCTCCTCGGCGTCAACTCACAACCCTCACTACAAAGGCAGAACCCTCACGTCACGTGATCTCCGTAACGCTGTTGAGACATCAAAGTAAAAAGGACGTCATAGTGAACACGGGGTTAAAACCTTTAAATTAAATACGTCTGTATCATGGCGGCTTTACAAATTGCACACTAATTGATGCAATGAATATCTCACGTCGCGTTCTGTTTTCGCTTGCAAGTTTCAGATTTACTGAAATACACCCGTCCTTGGACGGGCAAAAGGCGAGTTTGTGTAATATGTGATTGCAACAGTTAATAATCGATTGGTTTTGGCAGTTTATTGATGGTTGAGTAAAGGGAGTAAGCTTTTATAATGGGGGAAAAAACATCTTGGGACTTGGTTTTCATGTTTATAGTTTTCCTAAGGTCATGCTTTTTATATTTAACGCTAGCACCTTTTCCCAAGACTCACATTTTTTCATTATTTTACTTGGCACTATTTTTATCGTACAGTATATTTTTATTGCTGGTTTGCTGCCATTTTTAGTCATTCTATTTTAAAAAAATTCTAAACCGTCCAATTTTCGGGTCTTGATCACAAACAGATATTTTGTTGTACCTGCGTTCAGCTTTGTGAAAATAAACAATTAATGTGTTCATTCACTCGTTGAGATTAACGGCTTGAGTTATGAAATTAATAATGGGACCACAGGAGAGAAAAGTAATTGGATGAATTCATGGGTAAATGGCTCTGTTAACGACTCGCTCAGAGAAAAGGTCTCAGACGGACTGATTTAGCAACACGGATGGTAATACCATCTGGAATTGGATGACACTTATGTGCATGCCAGCCATGCGTTTATAGTATGGACACAATCATTGCTAAACACTCGAACGTCTTGACAGTCACTGGGCGCCCTTTCCCGTGAACAGGTTTGTACCGCCACAGTTTTTGCTCGTTGGATGCGAGCGATGTTCACAGGAGGCATCAGCGAGGGCCACTTTGAGCATCGTAGATGGACACGCTCACCTCGCCCCAATCCCCCCAGTATTAAAATCGGTCGTCAAAAAAATTAACAAAAAATTGTGAGTCAACTGACTGTCTTTCGCACTTTAAAAGCGTAAAACAGCCAATGTGGGGGGTTGATGAAGGGAAGATTTTTCATTGGCGCTTCACTGACACGCATCCCCCACATCAGGTGGTTCAATCTCCTCCCTTATATGAAAAGAAAAAGTTCACAAGTATTTGACGAAACAGGCAGTACAAGACGTCCTGATCATTTACAGCGAAAAAGAGTGATTCATTATATTCGTGAAAGGGATTAAATGTTAACCGTACACGGTTATAACATCAGCTGCTGCTGCTCCGTTGCCTTAGGTCAGATCAACGGGACATCAACCGCCGACTTGATTGGCACCGAGTCGCGCACCTCGTCCGAACCATCGCGCCACATTCGCCCCAAGACATCTAAGGCCACCTTTTGAAGTCGTTTGGCACCGACAAATAAACTTTGACGCGACGCTGCCCGGAGATTACTGCGGAAAAAAAAAGAACACGCGTGCACACTGTGGGTTTGCGCAGGGCAGTTGAAATTGTTGGGCAGATGTGGACTTTTATTATCGCTGACTGTGACGCAACTCTGAAACCGCGGGCGCGGGGCCCAACTCTTTTATTTTTTTGCAAGTTTTATGATTATTCACGATTGTGTTTACTCGTGCAACAGCATCATTGTTTCCACTGGTGGCTTCGTCGGTTTTCTGGCCATCCCTTTTACTACGGTTTGCGTCGTAATATTAACAACAACAATAGTGTCATTGCGTAGCGTGGAGCGGCGGTTTTGTTTAAAATATATATATATTTAAAACGTAACATAGTCATGTAGCGAGCGTGCCTATTAAATTGTTAATGTGCAGATCTTGGCAGAAATATCACTGCTTGCTGAAGCAGCAGTATTAAAATTGTACTTGTGTATGTGTGTATATATGTGTGGGGCGCTATGTGAACATCTCAAAAATTAACTAAAGTTTGTAATTATTTGGAGGGAAATGACATTTAGCTCCTGGTAATTTTCCATTTGTTTCTGTGCCTTTGCTGGTTGCCAAGCAGCATGTGAATTAAAATGATGAACATTTTTTTTTTCATTTAGGTCACCGTGACACACATGCGCACGAAACCTAATCTCCTCCATAATCTCATTTAGCGGCCTTTTTAGGAATATGGCTTAGAAGTCCACAACTTAAACAATTTACACAGCACGACTGAGCAAGGCTATCCATCCATCCATCTCTTGACATCCCCATAACTCAAGAGTTCATGCCCGTGACAGCTGTCATCTTCAGCGTTGCTCGTGGAAAGTTTCATCCCGAAATCTGACATTGTCCCACTGACTGATTCAATTCCTCGTCCCCTCTTCTCTTCCATAGCAACTTGCAGAATCATCATAACCCCCCAAAAAAAAAGAAAACTGTTATGGAGATTCATCTTCGTCATACTTCGAGCTGTTACCCTCTTAGGATGTGTCCTGCATACACTACCTCATCACACAACACATTAACTGTTGCTTGTTATCATTCTCTCTCAGCATGTCCTTCATTATTCTTCTGATCACACCAGCTTACTATATTGGGGGGGGGGGGGGGCTAGGAAGATTGGGATCAGTTGCAAAACAAAAGTAAAAAGCAAACACAATGACTCGTGGAGTCGTTTATCTCCCTCGCTCTTTCCTGGTCACTGCCACTGTCCTTTATTCAACCAGCCCAATGAGGTCTGATTGTTTCTCTTGCAACGTACATCTGGGTCACCAAGGAGCTGCCAAGCTCTGTTGGAAGTTTGTCTAGGAGCTTGGTGGACGGTCAACCATTGGCATGTGGGCTACAAAGCGGCACACAAAGGACGGCTCTTGCCAGTCGATGTAACGGGGACTTTTAAACACGCCCGCGATGGTAAACAGCTCTCACTTTCGTAATTTCGAACAAATGACCGTCGAACTGCAACTTACTCCGGGAACACCCCTGTTGTCTCCCACGTTAAGCCAAGCACTCATTAGTGGAATTGGCCAAGTATCCATGAATGCAAGAAACAGCCCCCCCTCCCGGCCCCAGCCCTGAAATAAACGTCCTGAGACTTAGTAAGGCTCTCCTGGGCAAATGAAGGAATCCATTCAATGATGCTTTGTTGGCAAGTATATTGAATATCAAGGTCATTTATTCCGCTGTGAATATTTAAAAGCTGGGGAGACAAGTCCCAAGCAGCGGTGAGCTCTACTCACACGTTAACCCCATCACGGCAGTGTACTGGTTGTGTGACCTTACTGCTGATGCGTGCACATCGTACCGCGCCGTATCCGAATCTCTCTCTCACCTACTCACAATGCTTGCGCCAGTTTCTAGGAATTAGGAACAACCAAGAGTTGGCGGAAAAAAAATATGAGCCGTATGTGTGTGTGCATGTAATTTTGAGGACATACTTATCCCGCTTTTAGTGTTTAGATAGACCCGCAAATTAACGGATTTGCGAGAAGAAAAAAAGATAATTGGGTTTTTGGCAGCTGCTGCATGCGCCGCGTATTAGCACGGTTGGCTACGTATGGTGCGAAAGAAGTCCCAACATACTTATGTACATTTCAAGCTTTTGCCACTGTTCTTCACTAAGGCGGATCCACGCACGCAATATCGCTGCAATCCATAACGCATCTGCCATCGTCTTGGATTTGTTGAAGGACCTTAACATGCAACTATGACATCATCTATGCGAACTGTTGCTTACATGCCGTACAAGATAAGAAGACTCATGGCGGAGGCACCAGTGCTCGTGGAGTTTTGCCTTTTACTGCGCACGCCTCACGCTCGGACGATTCGGTCGGACCTTCTTCCATCACGTCCCACTGCGGTAACCCTAAACCCAAGAGGCAGGACTGCGCAATGCAGCCGTCGTGTCATGCACTCGGGT